TTATTCTATATTCTACATTATTCTATATTCTACATTATTCTATATTCTACATTCCACATCCTACATTCCACATTATTCTATATTCTATATTCTACATTCTACATTCTACATTATTCCATATTCTATATTCTACATTATTCTATATTCTACATTCCACATCCTACATTCCACATTATTCTATATTCTATATTCTACATTCTACATTCTACATTATTCCATATTCTATATTCTACATTATTCTATATTCTACATTCCACATTCTACATTCCACATTATTCTATATTCTATATTTTATATTCTACATTATTCAACATTCTATATTCCATAATATAGAATATGAATTAGAAGTAGAGTACAGTACAGTATAGTAGACTAGACTAGAACAAAACAGGACGTGGAAGGGACCTTAGAGGTGTTCTAGTCCAACCCCCTGCTTAGGCAAGAAACCCTATACCACAACAGACAATAATGACCACATTTTTCATTTAATAACTGCTGCGGGGGGGGGGGAGGTGTTTGTAAAATCAGGTCAGTCAAGTGACCAATCTGATTTTCCCACCACAAATCCATCCCAGTCATATTTCAAGGACTTCCTTCCTTCCCTCCCTCCCTTTTATTTATCTGCCAGATTTTGCACCTATTTTCCAAACCCTTGTTCTGTTTTAAGGAGGGAAGAGGAAGGGGAAAAAAATTGGAAAAAGGAACAATTACTTATATTGGCTAAGAGGTGGCTGGATATTGGCTGACGGATTAAGGGTGTAGCCACCACACACGAATTCAATAATTGGGATTACATTTCTTTATTGCAGCACCATATTATCCTTAGTGCATTAGCCAATTAAGGGAGAGGAGTTAATTAATCAGCTAATTAAAGCAAGGGAGATTTATAGGAGCTTCTGAAGGCACCGTTCCTTCCCTTGGCTACTTTCCCTTTCATCTAATCCAAAATCTCAGGAAGGTATATGGAGATCCACCATTTTCCAGGGATTTGTGGACATGGTACAGGTATTCCTCAACTTATAACCGTTTGTTTAGGGACCGTTCAATGCGACGACATCACTGAAAAAAGTAACGGATGATTGTTTTTCACCCAGTTGTATTCCCATGGTCACATGATCGAACTGCAGATGCTTGGCAACTGATTTGCACTTATGACAGTTCCAGGCTCCCAGGGTGACGGGATCCTTTTGTGTCTTTCTGATGGGGAAAGCCAGATTCGCTAAACAACTGTGTTACGGTACTAACTCGAGAACGGCAGCGTTTCATTTGACAACGGTGGGGGGAAGGGCTGTAAAATGGGATAAAACTCCTAACCGCTTGCCAACCAAACGTTTGGAATCCATTGTGGTCGTAAGCCGAGGATTGGCTCTTGGATCTATTTTTATTTATTTTTATTATTTATTTTTATTATTTATTTTTATTTNCCCCCTTCCCGTGATTGTAAGCCGCCCTGAGTCCCCTCAGGGAGAAGGTCGGCCTATAAATCGTAATAAATGTCTGTAAAAATGTCTGTAAAATTTTAAGAAGGAAATTATTTTCCTGACGCAGCCTTAGCAGAAGCAAGAAACAGACTCCTGGTCACGAAAAATCCCTCTTTATTTACCTCTTGTGAATTAATGGCATTCACCCACCAAAAAGTCCAGGCAATATTCCTTCCAAGAGTTAGCTGCAGTAACAGACCTTATCAGTTCCTTGCGATAATTGCAAGGCCTTGAGCTCCCAGCCGCAAAGCTGCAAATTAAGTTCTGGCATCACACGAAACATAATGAGCAAAATCTTCAGAAATACGAACTGTTGTCTCCTATGACCACCACTCCCCTTTCCTTCTATTTATTCCCCAGCCAGTGTCCATGTTTGCTTTGCTTCCCGAGTCGACTCCTTGTCCTCCATTGTTCTCCTCTCCTAACTGCTCTGCGCGTAGGTGCGTCTGGAACAGGCCGCAGCTGCTCTTCCACCTCACTCATCTCAGCCTCCAAAGGCAGCTGCCTCTCTGGCAGCAGCAAAATGTCAGACGGCCTTGGCCCCCTCTCTGCCTCCAACACAGAGCCCTCATCAGAGCCTTCCCCAGACTCCAGGACTGGCCCAGGTTCTTCCCCAACCTCCTCACTCTCCGCTGCCAGCTCCGCAGGCCACTAGCGGGCCACAACACACACACAGTTTATCCAAAATGCCAAAATTGCTCTGTGAACCTTACCTCTTTGCCAGGCTCAACACCTTGGCCCTTTTCCGCATCCGCTGACGAGGCACCACGTTGCCGACCAGAGAGTTTGGCAGAGTTGTTACCTGCAAGGAAGAATGTTGATGGTGAAGAAAAGCATTCAGGAAAAATGCACCAGGCCTTAGGTTTGCCGAGTGAGTGACGACCATGCAACAGTTAACACAACTGCACCAACAAAGATGTTGCACACAACTGCAGGGAAAAAAGCCTACGTAAAAGCAGAAATTCTAAAGACCAATGATTTCTGAAAAGTGTGGAAATTGCTTGCAAACGTCTTACTGAGCTTTTAAATTTGTCTGCAAAGGGAGCTGATGCTGAGCGACAATTCAAGTAATTCTCAATTTATGATCAGTCACTGAATAGAATATAGATTATTCTGTATTCTATATTCTATATCAGTGGTAGTCAACCTGGTCCCTACCGCCCACTAGTGGGCGTTTCAGCTTTTATGGTGGGCGGTAG